GGAATTTGAGCTGATCCTTGAAGTAAAAATGGATCTGCAAAGTCCTATCAGGGTAAAGAAAGCCACTTTATTATGTCCACTGGTTCTAGCGCTCGCCACTTAAGTGATTGGGTCTTTTTCAAACTTAATTTCTTTATCTCTAAAATGGCAAAATTGGGACTTTTACAGCTCTAACAAATAAACTTTCCCTCACTAAAAAGTAAAAATGGGGCTGGGGACATGGTTGGGCTGGTAAAGGCACTTGGTGCCCAGGCCTTACCACCTGAGTTCACACCCCAAGACCCACATAGTGGAAGGAGAAAATAACTCCTACAATTACAGTTTGTCCTCTGGCTTCCACACATGCCCCCCAAGCCCTCCCTCCACACACAAAATAAATCCGTCCTTAAAATGCAACAACTGACAGCTTCACTTCTTAGAGTCATGAGAAGTAATGCTTGTTGATAGTCTGTGAAGTCTAAGTGTTGCACTAGACACAGGAACAACTAACTAGACAGTCCGAAGTCTGCCAACATGAAGAGCAAGGTCAGTAGAGGGCTTGGCAAATGGGACCCCTGTTCACATTTTAACTCTAAGTACCCATCTAAATTTGGCAGGGGTTGTAAATAATCTATTAGTCTTAGGTTTACCCTGGCCTGAACTTACCTTTGATTCTTTAATCCTGTAGGGTAGAGAACAAGCTCCAAGCTCTAGACATTCAATTCAGAGAACTAGACGTCACCAAGGATAACCTGACACAGCAATTTGAACACCATAGCAAGACTTTGGCCAGCCAAGCAGCCCACGATGAGATATGGACAGCGGTTCTGGGCCTTGGGTGAGCAACGGTTGAGGAATCCTGGCTTTAGTGGCTTTGTGAGAGCTTTTGGTGGCCATTCCAAAACTATGTTTAGTATGTCCCAGTGGTATTACTCAGGCTCGGCTCCCTTCATGCAGAAAAGGTTGATCTGTGTTTATGCCAGGCACCACAGTACCCACCCTGTGAGTCTCTTACCAGCTGGTCTTATGGACGGGGATGAGTAACAGAACTCCCTCACCATGGGACGCTCATCCAATGGGGGGCCTGAGAACTCAGCTACGCAGTTTGGTGCAGGCCCGACTTCTGAAATACATGGCTGGTTTCCTAGTGGGTTTACATTGGGTCAACCTAATCCAATGTAACTTACATTTATACACAGACTATTCCATTTAAGGAGCTTTCCACATTTCTCATAGGTTCACCTCAATGGAACTGAATATTTTATATAGCTATGTCATTGAAGTCCTTATCTGCTTGCACACTCGAGTGCTTCAGAAGCTTCCAGACCTGGTGAGAAGTCTTCCAACCTTAGCCTCCGTCCTTAGACGACAAGTCAAGAACAAGCACGTTAGAATTGTGTGGGAGTCTGTCCTGGAGGAATATGGGCTGCAAGAGAGAGATGTCACAGCACTCTGTACCTTCTTCATTGCCCACGGCAACAAAGCAGAACACTATGCTGCTAATGTAAGACGGATGTACATCAAAGATGTCACGTTCATGATCACCAACATGGTAAAGAACCAGGCTCTACAGGACGGTTTGCTGCGAGCCGTTCAGGTCATCGAGAAGGGGAAAGCAGTGAGGACCCCTGAACACCAAAGGGCATCCCTAAAAGAGTTGATACCACCAATCAAAGATGAACCTGTTACCCAATAACTCAGCAATCCCACTTTCAGCCATTTGTAATGCAAAAACAAAAATGAATAATTTAATTACTGTAGGCTTATTTTATAGCAAGAGTGGAAGAAGCATTAAAGAAATTATGACAAACTGACACAATATTTTGTGTGTGTAGCCATATTAAAAAATAGGCAAACTTTTTATAATGAAATAGTCTGGGGATGTAGCCAAGAGTATATGCTTTGTATGCAGGAGGTCCTGGGTTCAATCCCTAATACCATAAACATAAAAAATAAACTTATATGGAATCCTCACTCAAATTTGGTGGTGTTTCATTTAAATATTTATCTAATGGTAAGTACAAAAGGGGGCAAAACTAACTATATATACATATCTATGATATTTTAAAAGATACTGTGTATTAGTGTAGATATCTACACTTCTGCAGTGATACTTAACAAATATTATTTTAGAGGAGAAAATGAAGAGGTTAAGAGGCAAGATGAAAGAAATTCTTTTCACTGGATGGTGGAACTTGCTCTCTAGGTGTGACGTGGCATCCCTGTCTTTCATCAGAGAAGCTGGGATCAGCCACAGGACATGGTCATGAGATCAGGGCTATTGTCATTTCCTCATTGAATGGAAAGGGAAATGTTACTTTCTCCTGAAAGCCCAGGCCACAAGCTGTACATAATCTTGCTCCCCTGGTCTTAGGGGATGCTAGAGCATACAGGAGGTGGACAGTTGACTGTGGTTGGGAGTCTGGTGGTGAAGTGTTTGTGGGTCATCCCCATGCTGAGGTGGGAATTGTACATGGTGTGGCTTGCCTTTGAGTCAATCCACGCTTCTGTAAGCACTCAGTTCCTGTAAGACTAATGGACTCATTGGTTCCCCCAAGCTGAACTGGGATGGACTCTCTTCTTTGGCTTATCTTTGGTGTCTGGATGAAATAGAGATTTCTTTAGTTTCTCTAGAAAGAGTCAGACTGTTCACTTCCAACACTGTGAATTTTGAATGCCCATTAAAAGGCAATTACTCGATAAAAAAAAATAACGTATTGGGGTGGAGAGATGACTCAGTGGCTAAGAGTTCCATTCCCAGCACCTATGCCAGGTGTCACAACCATAGCTCCAGGACAGACTGTAACGATGGCACTTTCTTTGGTCTGCCAGCTCCCAAGTAATGACACGGAGAGTTTTTATTAATTCTGAAAGCTTGGCCTTAGCATAGGCTTGTTCCCAAGTAGCTCTTAAAACTTATTTATTTTTGGTTTTTCGAGACAGGGTTTTCTCTGTGTAGCTTTGCGCCTTTCCTGGAACTCACTCTTTAGCCCAGACTGGCCTTGAACTCACAGAGTTCCGCCTGGCTCTGCCTCCTGAGTGTTGGGATTAAAGGAGTGCGCCACCACCGCCCGGCTCTTTTTTTTTTTTTTTTCTCTTAAAATTTAAATGAACTCATTTATATTCACCTATGTTTTGCCACATGGCTTGTTATCTCTCCTCAGTACCGTAAGTCCTATTTCTTCCGATTCTCACTGGTGAATCTCTCACACCTCGGATTCTTTCCCAGAGTTTCCGTCTCTCCCTGGAAATCCTGCCTATCCTCTCTTGCCTAGCTATTGGCTGTTCGCTCTTTATTAAACCAATCAGAAGGTGCCTTAGGCAGGTGAGGAAGGACAGACACTTCTTCACACAGTGTACAAAAAAGATTATCCCAACAACAGATAGAGTCTTGATACTTCTTGCCAAGCTTATATCTTGGGCCTTAAGTCTTTAGGAAGGAAGGCTGCAGACATCAGGGGCTGGGCCATAGGAGGAAATGTAAATGTCAAGTTGTCACAGGTCTGAGGATTCTCTGGCCCAAACTTTCAACTTCCTGGTGAGAGCAGCCTTCGTACAGATTTACAGGAGAGTTGAACCAGAATCCCTTAGACCTAGAACTCTCTGTTTCCCAACTGGACTCCAACTCTAGATCCCCTCACTTCTGTCTCTGCCTTTGCTACCTAAATGCTGGATTACAGGACACGTGTGACCACGCCTATCTCAGAATACTTTTTTTTTTTTTTTGAAAAAGGGTCTATTTGAGTAGTACTGGAACCCACTGTGTAGACCAGGTTGACCTCTAACTCACAGAGATTCTCCTGCCTCTGCCTCTGAAGTATTGGGATTAAGTGTGCACCACTATGCCTGGCCATAGACACTTTTCTAATATTATATTGTTATGCCCAGATCTCGTCCCCAAAGAAGCCACCGGAGACCTCAGGTACAGAATGCAAAAGCAAGGTTTATTCAAATGAAGTTTACAAGCCTCGGCAGGGGGGCTCGTTCCAAACCTCTCACACACAGCAGGGAGGTTGGAAGGAGCGCACGCCTTTCTTTGTGAGGCTAGTTTTTAAAAGCACAGACCACATAATTCATCTCCCACCGCCCGCATCCCTCTTTTAGGTTCATATCAGTAGTTTTTTATGTTATCTTTATTTCTCGTTTGTTCAGCAACCGTGTTTGGGAGTTTTATGAGCTGTCTCCGGGGTTTGGGGAGTTTGGGATGTTTTATGACCACTTAGTCTCTGCCAGATGGTGGTATATCCCAACTCTGTGTTTTCTTAAGTTTCTGTAGTTGATAAAGCCACCTGGAAAAAGGCGTCTAAGTTCTTATCTACACTTAAGAATCCTGGTTTTAGCTTCTCTTTGTCTGTAGGGGATGAAGTGGGGGGGGGGGTGGTTTACTGAGGTTTCACAATATAAAATATAGGCTATTGATGAGGATCCAGTATTGACTGATTGACTTTTTGAGGCAGGGTCTCATATAGCCCAGGTTGGCCTGGAACCAGTTAGTTAGCAAAGGCTAGTTTATAATAATCCTTTTGTGACTACTTTCCAAGGGCTGGGGTTACAGGCATGTGACTCTTTGCTTAGCTCTTCAGATTCCGATAGCAAACTTCATGCTGAAGTTTCAGGGAACAGGGCCCAAGCTAAGCATCCATAAAACCAGGAGGGAGAGAACAGTAACAGACAAATCTCCAGACTGCTGAGCTCCAGCCAGTACCATAACGATACTTACCCACCTCAACCTTTACAAGGATTCTTAGAAACCATCAGTCCCACTTTTTGTTGCTGTTTTCCTTGAACATTACTTGTCTATAAAGCCAATATCTGCTCGTCCTAAAAGTCCTAAGACACATTCTATAGAACGTCAGTGTTGCAAATAAAAGCCAACAAAAATCTTTCAGCTCAAATTGTTGCAATTTTTTCTTTTGGCACTAAAAACTGTTCCAGAGGACTCGGGTTCAATTCCCAGGCCAGGTGTCTGATCAAGCCAGTTTTTTTTAAAAAAAAAAAAAAAAAAGGCACTAAAAACTTTGGAAAGCTTTGTTAGGAGAAACAAAAAGTAGTTTAAGATAATAATTATAAAAATCACTGTTTGGAGCTTGTTTAGAGAGGTTAGTTGTTAGCCAGTGACTAACCAAGTTTCTGTAGCCTACATTAGCTTGAACGACAGCGGACCTGAGACTGGCAGGTGGCACGCGACAACGCGCACAGCTCCCGGAAGTCCCGCCCGAGTGGGCGGTTCCTTGGGTGAGCGGTGCCGTTTTTTCGGCGGGGGAACTGTGACGTCAGTAGGTCGTGTGTCCCTGCCTCGGCCGCCGCCAATAAACTGGCTGGCGGGACTGCGGGTCCGAGCGGCCGGGTCTCGGGCCCCTGGCGAACCGCGAGGCGGCCAGAAGCTGGAGCGCGGGGACGGAGGGCTGCCACCGCCGCAACGGCGAGACGGAAGTCCAGCGGCGGCCCGGGCCCGGCTTCCGGGCGGTACGGGGTGCTCTCGGCGCGGCGGCCTCCGGGGCTTCCGGCCCTGGCAGGCCCGGCGGCCTCGCGCAAAGAGGCGGGCGGGTCCTCACCAGGTAAGAAGGGGAGCTGGACCCGACTGTCCGCGGCGCGGGGGGCCGGAGCCGCTCCCCGCCCCGAGGCCGCCGAGCTCCCGAAGGAACGTTCATTCATTGCCCTGCTGGACGGACGCAGGGCGCCACTGTTGGCCCTGACAGCACAGCGCCGGTGTGCCGCGGGCCCGAGGAGGTTCAGCCTGTCCCGACTGCAGTAACGCTGCCGGGCGGCGGGATAAACAACCCGCCCGCTGACTTCCTCCCGACTGCCTGGTTCGCCCGCCGAACGGCGAATCTGGTTTCTTCCAGGTGTTGACGTTGAGTAGGCCTCATTAGCATACGAAGATGGCTGCTTGCGAAGACGCCGTCCCTTCCTTAGCCGAATGTCAGTGCGGGATCTGCATGGAAATCCTGCTGGAGCCGGTGACCCTGCCTTGCAACCACACGCTCTGTAACCCGTGCTTCCAGTCGACTGTTGAAAAGGCCAACCTGTGCTGTCCCTTCTGTCGCCGCCGGGTCTCTTCGTGGACTCGGTACCATACCCGAAAAAATTCTCTTGTCAATACAAAACTGTGGGAGATGATTCAAAAACACTATGCAAAGGAATGTAAGCTTAGGATCTCTGGACAAGAATCAAAGGAAATCGGTGAGTGAAAGTCAACGTGTTTATTGAGTTTTTAAAAAAAGAAAAGAAAAGAGGCCCAAAAACGTTTAGAGAAGGGACCGTTATTTTTCTATTTTAAAAAGAAGACTAAATAGTTTAAATTGATCTTGATTTGTGGTTTTATGAACCCCGCCCCCACATGGGTTAAAGTCAAGGGCAAATTTTTTGTCGCATGTAGCTCAAGTTGTGTTCACTAGCTGTGATTGAGTTTTTAAAACTGCAACAACAACCAAAAAAATAGAATTGTCACTTTCGAGTTGTCTAAAGACTTGCGGTTAAATTCCAAAGTTCTTTGGCCTTGCGCCACTTTCTCTGACCTGTGGTTCTAAGTATGCAGCAAGCCTAAACTAGCTTCTCATTGCCAGTTCCATCTAGTTCAGTCATTTTTGGTTGACCCCTTCCAGTCTGGGGGTGCAAGGAGCTATAAACTGTTCCTTAGTCTTTAGCAGTTTTCCTGTATTACAAACCATTCAGTATTTCCTTTTGGGCCTTGAATGTGGTGTTTGTCTGTGGTGTACTTGCCTTTTATGTGTTGAAAAAAAAAACCAACCCCAAAATGTGGCCAGCCGTGCCTTTACTCCCAGAGGCAGAGGCAGGTGGATCTCTTGAGTTCAAGACCAGCCTGGTCTACAAAGCTGGTTCCAAGATAGCCAAGGCTATTGGAAGAAACCCTCGGGCTCCTATTTGCTTGCTTGGTCCCCAGTTGATGAACTATTTGGCAGGATTGGGTGTGACCCTGTTGAGGGGCTGATAAGGAGCTTTGAGGTTTCTAAAGCCTGTGACTGGTCCAGTGTCTTGCTTTCTCCTTGCTGCCTGCAAATCAGGATGTAGTACTTACTCAGTTGCTTTCCCAGCATCATACCTGCTTGTCTGTGGCCTCACTCCTTCCCGTGATGTGAATGGATCAAATGAGCCTCTTAAACCCTAAGCAAGCCCCAAATAAAATGGCTTCTCTTAGAGTTGCCTTGGTCCTGGTGTCTTTTCACGACATTAGTACAGTAACTGAGACAGTGGGTTCAAGTATTTGCCACACAAACCTTGTGACCTGAGTTCAGTCCCTAGAATGGAGAGAACTGACTTTGAAAATTGTCCTCTGGCCTCCACGCGTGTGTGGCAGTCACTGCTCACGTTTGTACTTGCCCCACAGCCACTGACCAATGTCTTGGGCCCCTAGTTTTGTTTTGAGATAAGGTTTCATTAGGTAGCCTGGGGTAGCCTTATCCTTAGAAATTCTGGACTTGCAGGTGTGCAGGAGCCGTCCTTTATTATGTAGTATTAATGAGGGCTGGCATACCTTTTCTGTAAAGGTCAGAATAGTGTTTTAAGGACTGTATAGTCTGTTGAAGATAGGTCTGCTGCTGTAAAAACAAAAGCACCATAGACATTACATTAATTTACATTGTCCTTCGTAAATGAAGGTAGTGCCTGTGTTTCCATAAAATTTCTTTAGGAAAAAAGAAAAGATAAGGGCCAAACTTGGTCAGAGTAGCCCCTGGCTTCTTAGAATATCCCTATTAACATTCTTAAGAAAAATTCTTTATCTGTGGAGGTGGCAGAATTAAGCGATTGCAGATGCTTAGGAAGGGAAAACTTGAGGTTTCTTTATTTTTTTCCAAGACAGACTTGTATGTGTAGCCCTGGGCTATCCAGGAACTCACTCTATAGACCAGGCTGGCCTTGAATTTAGAGTTCCCCCTGCCTTCTGAGTCTTAGGATTAAAGAAAGGTGTGAGCCGGGTTGTGGTGGCACACGACGACACGACGTTTAGTCCCTTTAGAAACCCTGTCTCTAAAAACAAACAAACAAAAAAAAAAAAAAAGAGAAAGAAAGAAAGGTGTGAGCCACCACCGCCCAGCTGAGATTTCTTATCTTTTAAATATGTATCTAATTGTGTGTGTGTGTGTGTGTGTGTGTGTCTGCATGCAGAAGCCCTTTGAGGTCAAAAGAGGCATCAGATCCCCCAGAACTGGAATTACAGATAGCTGTGAGCTGCCACATGGGTACTAAGAACCAACCAAAGATCCAGGTCCTCTGGAAGAGCAGTAAACATTCTTTTTTGTTTGTTTTGTTTTTCGAGACAGGGTTTCTCTGTGTAGCTTTGCGCCTTTCCTGGAACTCACTTTGGAGACCAGACTGGCCTTGAACTCACAGAGATCCGCCTGTCTCTGCCTCTCGAGTGCTGGGATTAAAGGCATGGGCCACCACTGCCTGGCACAGTAAGCATTCTTAACTACTGAACCATCTCTCCAACTTTCAGAAATTTGTTATTCTTTAATTTTTTGTTTTTTCGAGACAGGGTTTCTCTGTGTAGCTTTGCGCCTTTACTGGGACTCACTTGGTAGCCCAGGCTGCCCTCGAACTCACAGAGATCCGCCTGGCTCTGCCTCCCGAGTGCTGGGATTAAAGGCGTGCGCCACCACCGCCCGGCTTGTTAGTCTTTAAAAAAGGCCATTTGTTAAATAAAAATAGTAAAACTATCAAGAGAGCAAAAGACATCTCACAAAATAGAAGAAAATATTTGCAAATCATAGAAAGTAAGATAATACCCAAATATAAGCAGGAGGGTCACTGTAAATTCTAGGCCAGGCAGGGCTATGTTGTGAGACCCTGTTACAAAAATAACTCATCAGGAATCTCCATCAAAGAGTCCCAGTCTAACCAGGACTAGTGAGATTCTTTTAAAAGTGGTCAAAGTGGTCAGGTGAAGTGGTTCATTTCTATAGTCCTAGCACTCAAGAGACTCGATTCAAGGTAAGCCTGAGCTATGTAGTAGGTTCTGGGACAGCCTGAGTTACAGTGATGTTGTCTCAAAGAAAAGAAAGGGGTTGGGCAAAGAATTTAGATATCACTCCATTAATGATACTTAGGGGTTTAGCTTACTAGTAAGGCACCTGAACGTCATCAGTGGAGTAATGGTCCATATCGCTAGTCATTTGGTAAGTACAGATGAAAACCACCGAGATAGAGGCAATACCACTGCTTTCATACTCATTTGGATGACTGTGGAAAAGACGCCTGGGGGGAAAAATCATAGAGGGTCAGCAAGAATCCCTAGACAAAAGCAAGTCTGAAGGGAAGGAGACCTGCCTATCCTGGGCCACCCAAAGGAAGAGAGGACAGGTCCAGGGAAGGGAACAAGAGATGGTTGAGGTACAGGACCCATGAGAAGAACAAGAGATGGAAGAACTGAATCAAAACAAGAGGATGTTGTTGGAGACAGCTAACTTAGTCAAATGAACGTTTTTTTATCTTAGTTAGATTTTAAGCTGCCCTTTTATTTCTTTTGGTTTTTCAAGACAGAGTTTCTCTGTGTAGCCCTGTGTAGACCAGGCTCGCCTTGAACTCTGAGATCTGCCTCCCCTGCCTTCCAAGTGCAGAATTTATCTTTTTGTTTTCCAAATGAAAGTTTTTTAAAAAAATATATAGTTCTGTTTTCAGATGACTAAAATAGGAAAAGGAAGGTTTTTCCTCTTCATTGCCTTTATAATATGAGAACGTATTAGTACAGACATGTAAAACATATAAAAATAACAAAAAAGTAGACGAGCCCAAATGTCCTCAGTGGGTGGATGAACTAAATGTATATATAACTGCACAGAATATACTGTTCACCCGTTAAAAGGAACTGTCCGAGTTGACTGTGGGCTGAAGACTTTGTTCCAGCTGTCCTTGCTGAGATGATTGCAGCAGGGGAGTCCTGGCCTCATCAGTGGCTCAGTCCACTGATGAGTTCACACCAGACGGGCTGCTAGGAGACAATGCACTGGTCACTGGGGACTGGCTCTGAGAGGTGTGGGTGGTTCCTGGTCCCTGCTGGGCGTCTTTGCTTTGTAAGCAACTCTGCCTCAGCAAGCCTTTTCACCACCACGTTTCTACCTTGCACAGGCATAAAAAAACCGTGGCTGCAAACCTCTGTATGAGCCCAAGGCGAACCTTTCCTCTCTCAAGTTGTTTGAGGCATTTTGTCACAGCAGTGGTGGCTAACAGGAACAAAATTGGCAAATTCTAGAACATGGAGTTAGAGGCATGCTTTTTTCTTTTTTTTTTTTTCGAATATTCAGGTTATACCTTCCACACAGTATATAGTAAGTACATGATGCTAGTTTGTCTCATATATAATATTCTGACTCATAATGGCAGACTTGTCAACTGTATCCCTTGGAATAAATGTAACTATGAAATGATACTTTGAGACTGATTCTCCTCCAGATTTTCCAGCAAAGGGTTTAACACCTATTTATTACTCTTGCCTGCATTGCTTTCTGCAGAATGACAGTTGCAAATAGGAAATTTGGATTTTCTAATGATGGTTCTTCAATCCTGGAGCAATCTTTTTTCTAAGAAGTCTGTGTGTAAAACCCACACACTTCTCGCTCTTCATCAATTCCCTTTCAAACCCTTCCTCTTTACCTGTGTTACTGTCTGAGTGTGGGCACCAAAGTGGAGATCAGAGGACAGCTCTTGGTTGTCTGTTCTTTCCTTCCACCACATAGGTCATAGGGATTCAACTCAGGTTGTCACACTTGGTGGCACTAAGTCATCTTGCTGGCTGTCCTGGAACTCACTTTGTAGCCCAGGCTGGCCTCAAAATCACAGAGATCAGCCTGCCTCTGCCTCCTGAGTGCTGGAATTAAAGGTGTGTGCCACCACCCAGCCTAGCTTTTCATTTTTAAAAGCTCTGTGTGTGTGTGTGTGTGTGTGTGTGTGTGTGTGTGTGTGTTTGTGCACATTTACGCACACATGCTTGTATATATGAATATCCAAGGCTCTCTGCCACCAACTACATCCCAGGCTAAACCTTGGGAATTTGAGGAAGAATTAAAGCTCAGTAGTAAGGGTTAACTGTCAGGAAAACCAAGGAAATAGTTGAGTCCTAAGGTGGAGCTAGGCATGTAGCAAGCGTCTCTAGGCATAGCTTGAAGGGAGCAGAGGCAGGCAGGTTTTTGTGGTTTCAGGCTATCCTGGCCTGCACACAAAAGGTTCCAGGAAGGCCTGGTCTACATAGTGAGGCCATGTCTTTGGGGAAAAAAAAATCTGGATGCATTGGGGCCAGTAAGGTGCTTATTGCCAAGTCTGACAACTGAATGTGATCCCAGGGAATCCTACATGAGAGAAGAGGGCCATCTTCTGAAGGTTGTCCTGTGGCCTCCACTCACACTCCATGGTTCATGTCCCCTTACCCCATAGTAATTAAATGTAATAAAAATAATAAAAGCTGGATGCAGACAGCAGACATTTGTAATCCCAACACTTAGAAGGCTGCTACAAGTTTGAGACAGCCTAGGCTATGTAGCAAGACTGCTGGAGAAAGCAAAGCAAGGGGCTAAGAGAAGACTCATCAGTTAACAGTACTTCTTCCAGAGCATCTGGGTTCAGTTCCCAGCACCCTCACCAGGCACCTACAACCCCTTCTAACTCCAGTTGCTAAGGATCTGAGGTCCTGCCCTCTTCTGGTCTCCATTGGAACTGCATGCCTGTGCTGCACATAAAGTTTACAGGCATACACACATATGGACAAAAATATTTCTTTATAAGGAAAAAAAAACAAGCTGGGAGGTCGGGGTGGTGGTGGTGACACATGCTTTTAATCCCAGCATTCATTCAGGAGGCAGAGGCAAGCAGATCTCTTAGTTTGAGGTCAGCCTAGTCTAAAGAATGAGTTCCTGGACAGCCAGGGCTACACAGTGAATGAACAATGTCTCAACACCACCACCACCCCACCACCCCCCCAAAAAAAAAACAACCCAGAAAAAGAAAGGAAAAAGAACAAATTTATATATTAGTTTCTTAAGGCAGAAAGACAAAGTACCACAAGCTGGATGAGTTTAAAAAATGAACATTTCCTAATAGTTTTAGAGGCTAGAAGTCAAGATATAACCAGGGCCCTTGACTTTTGAAGTTGGAAATAGAGCTCTTCCTCACCTCTTTGTAGCTTTTTGAGTTTTTATGTGTATTGGTGTTTTGCCTGCATATGTGTCTGTACCATGTGCATGCCAGGTGCCTGCAGAGGCCAGAAGACCGTGTTGGCTCTCTTGAAGCTAGAGTTATAGATGGTTGTGAGCCACCATGTGGGTGCTGGGAATCCCAGGTCCTTTACAAGAGCAACAAGTGCTCTTCACCACTGAGCCATCTCTCCAGGCCCCCCCTCTGCATGTCTTGATACCATCTCCAATCTGTGTTTGTCTTTGTGTCCAAATTTGTCCCATATTTACTAGTCATAATTAAGATTCACCTCAGTGACCATACTTTAACTTTATTACCTCTGAAAGATCCTATTTCCAAATAAGATCCTATCCTGAAGAACTGGAGTTTAGAATTGGAACACAGCTCAACACAATATCTAATGCTTCTTCTCAGAAAAACTACAAAACATACTTAGAGAAATCAAAGACTTAGCTGGGCATGCTGGTTCTAATTACAACACAGGAATCTGAGGCAGGAGGATCTCAAGTTGGAAGCTTGTACTTGTCTTGTTTTTTTTTAATTATTTTTCCCTCTTCCTTAATCTCAGTATACTATTGGGGTTATTTTTTTTTTTTCTTTGTACTCTGTTGATGGGCTTTTATGACCCAGGGCCTGGTACATGCTAGATATGAGCTCTGTTATTGAACCACATCCCTAGCTCTGTCTTTTACAGGTGGTTTGATTTGGTTTGGTTTTTTGAGACAGGATTTCTCCGTGTAACCCTGGTTGTCCTAGAACTCACTCTGTAGACCAGGCTGGCCTTGAACTCAGAGATCTACCTGCTTCTGCTTCCCTAGTGCTGGAATTAAAAGTGTGCACCACCACCACCCTGCTTGTTGTAGTTATTTTTTATGGAGTCTAGGAAGTGTGTGTGTGTGTGTGTGTGTGTGTGTGTGTGTGTGTGTGTGTGTTCATTAAGTTTTAAAGGGAGGCCAAAGTCAGTCATCAAGTTCTGCTGCCCTGATACTATTTTCTTCCCCATGTGAAACAGTTGATGACTACCAGCCAGTTCGTCTGTTAAGTAAACCTGGGGAGTTGAGAAGAGAATATGAAGAGGAGATAAGCAAGGTAGGGTATGAAATAGTTTAGTTTTTGATTTTTTTATGTTGTTGAAAATGTCTTTGCTATGCTTTCAATCTTAGAAATCTCAGATTTATATATAGTACATGTTTATATAACTATCATGGACTGAAATGTTAGTAACTTTAATGACTTTATAGGCCCTACCCCCACCCTCTATTAAGATAGTATCATGGAACTCAATCTGGCCTGAAGCTTTTTTGGCCCAGGATGACCTTGAACTTGACTGATCTTCCTGCCTCCATCGCACAATGATGAGATTATTCAAATAGTGATGTCACACCTTGTTTTAAAAGTTGTTTTGTTGTTGTTTTCAGACATGGTCTCACAGAGATCCTGTCTCTGCTTCCCAAGCACTGGGATTAAAAGCGTGTGCCACTAAGCGCACCTAGAGGTCCCATCTTTGTTTACTTTTTATTTTTACTTTATGTATTTTGGTGTTTTGCCTGCATGTGTGTCTGTGCCTAGTGTCATTCATTAGAGGCCAGAAGAGGGCATACATAGGATTCCCTGAACTATAGTTAGTCAACTACCTTGTGGGTGCTGGGAAGCAAACCTAGGTCCTCTAGAAGAGTAGCCTGTAGTCTTAACCAATGTGCCATCTGTGTGGCCCAAGGTTTTTAAAGATTTATTATTATGTGTAGAGTGTTCTGTCTGCATGTATACCTGCACACCAGAAGAGGGCACCAGATCTCATTACAGATGGTTGTGAGCCACCATGTAGTTGCTGGGAATTGAACTCAGGACCTCTGGAAGAGCAGCCAGTGCTAGTGCTCTTAACCTCTTAGCCATCTCTCCAGCATCCCAAGGTCCCTTTTTAAATATTCAGCAACAATAATAATAATAAACTAGCCCCTGTTACATATATATAATTAGTGAGGGGTGCTTTTGTTTTTAGATAGGATTTTTCTGTGTAGCAATGGCTGCCTTAATATTATGTGATTATTAATTATTATTATAATGCCTAAGCATTTAACTGTAAAAATGTCTTTGATTTCCCTGGAGTTTTTACCTTAAAAAGGATGATGGTAAAGAAGTGGTAGATTGTGGGTTTAGGGAGGAAAGTATACAGGGGTGACTGGAAACACAGTGGGCAAAGGTTCGGCTTCCGGTGAGGCATTTGAGCTTCACTAGGATGGTACTATTACTAGGAGGACACTTATATTTCTGAAACAGAGTCTTGCTCTGTATCCCAGGCTGCCCTAGAACTCACTGTATAGCCTAGGCTGCCCTCCAGCTGGTGATCCTCTTGCCATGAGCCTTCTCAGGGCTAGTATTATAGGCGAATAGCTACATTGGAGTTAGTCATTGACCTTTCCTCCACCAAGAAAAGAACTGATTCCCGTGTCCTGGAAGTTCCTTTAGGAGTTTGAATTATGACTAATTGAGAAATAACAAGACTCCACAGGCCAAGGCCTGGAACTAAAATACACCAGTTGAAATGAGTGCTTTGGAACAGCTTGCTGTCGTGGAAGCAAGCCCAGTGCTTCTCTTTGTTACAGGGAATTTCAAGAGTATCACTGGGGGCCGCTTTTCTAACCCCAAATCTGTGGGGGTGACCCAGCTAAATTTGAAATTGGGCATGTATTTATATTTAGCTCAGCACCAATCTACTACAGAGAAGCACAGCAGCTGTGTATACCATCACAGAAGAGGGTGAAACTTCAGAAGCAAACAAGCCCTGATAGGGTAGTAGCTTTCTAATGAATGAAATAAGGCTGATCTAGCAAATGAAAGAGCTGTTGACTTACAGGAAGCGTGGTTCTATGCAGATGACAAGTTGTTATTCATGGAGGCATCATCTAAGACAGGAGTGAATGAAGGGAGATTCCCAGCGAGCTTAGAGTCAAAGCTGCCAAACAGTGAACCACAGAGTTCAGGAGTAAATTCCAGGCTGCAGCAACTGCTTCCTAAATGCTAATAGAATTCGAATATTTTACTCACCCAGTATGACTTCCAAAAAGATTGATTTAGGAGAAGGGGGAGGGGTATGGAGATAGGGTCTCATGATCTAACCCAGACTGGCCTTGAACTTTCAACAGTCCACCTGCCTTAGCTCTCAAGTGCTAAGATTACAGGTGTGTATTACCACACCCAGCTAAAGTCAAATGTTTGGGTGTATACATGTAGAGTCCAGAAATTGACATCTGGTGTCTTTCCTGATCATTCTCAACTTTGTCTTTTGAAGCTCAGTCTCTCATGGAACCTGGAGCTTATCAATTCAGCTAGACTGGCTAACCTATGAACACCTGGGATTTAGACAGATGTTGACACACTTGACTTTTTGTTTTTTCAAGACAGGGTTTCTCTGTGTAGTTTTGGTGCCTGTCCTGGATCTTACTCTGTAGACCAGGCTAGCCTTGAACTCACAGAGATCTGCCTGCCTCTGCCTCCCAGTACTGGGATTAAAGGTGTGTGCCACCTCCGCCCGGCTACACACTGACCTTTTTTTTTTTTTTGAGACAGGGTTTCTCTGCGTAGCT